GAAATAAATTACATTGAACTGACTATACAGTCAACAACCTTTCCAGCACTCACAGTGGTTAATAATATTTTTTAAAAATCTTTTATCCAAATACACATAAGCACCAAAATCTAATCAGTTGTTCTGTGGGCCATACCCTACCTCTTCAAACAAACAACAAAAAGGTATCACAATCCATTAGGTTTTAGAAATAAGACCACAAGTACTACAATGGATTCATTGTATAATCAGGTTAATGGACTAACTGTTACACATACCACTAGGCCCAACAGCCATAGTCAGACCGTGTGAACAGAGGCTGAATGAGGCGAAAGAACTGTAACAAAAATGAGCAGTGCACAAACTGATCTATGATTTATGTGTAGATTAGTTAATGCACCTTTTTTATTGTTAGCACTTTAGATGGTAAAGTATATATTGCTGTAGTGGTGTAAATGTGTGTAATGATAACATTAGATCTAATATAATATTATGTAATGAGCTTTCCCTAATCATAACCAATCATTTCTGTGCCTAAACCCAGTGAAACTGTAACCTTTAGGTTGTCACATCATTTGATAGTTTCATTCCCAGTTGTGATTTGCAGTATTTTCTAGACCTTCTGCTGATATGGGCATTCGTTCAGAAAACTCTCTGGAGGACATGGACAAACAATGTAATGGGAACAAACCAAATAATCTTTAAAATGTCTCAGATTTGTCTCTAAATTCAAATTCAAATTTTATTTGTATAGCGCCAAATCACCACAAAAGTCATCTCAGGACACTTTAAAAAGTCAGGTCTAGACCTTACTACTATCATTATTATTATAGAGGAAAACCCAACAAATCCCCCTTGAGCAAGCACTTGGTGACAGCAGGGAGGAAAAACTCCCTTTAACGGAAGAAACCTCTGACAGACCCCGGCTCTTGGTGGGCAGCCTTCTGCCTCGACCCATTTGTGATGAGTGCATAGAAGAAAGAGAAAAGAAAAGAAAAGCAACAAGAGACAAAAAATACAACAACAAACAATCAAACACTGGTCAGGTTGATGTGGCTGGTGACTGCCCATCTGAAACGTAGAGCTCCAGAGCCAGGGCAAGCTGCAGAAAGGTACAGGAAGAGAGAGAGGACACACTGCAGGAGAGAGGAGACACAGTTAGTGACATGTAATGGTGGTACATAGATGCACGAAGAGAGAGGAGAGGAGAGAAGAGGAGAGAAGATGAGAGAAGAGGGGAGGAGAAAAGGAGAGGAGAGGAGAGAAACTCAGAGCATCATGGTCCCCCAGCAGCCTAGGCCTATAGCATAACTAAGGGAAGGCTCAGGGTCACCTGATCCAGCCCTAACTATAAGCCTTATCAAATAGGAAAGTCTAAAGTCTAATCTTAAAGGTAGAGAGGGTGTCTGCCTTCTGAACTGAGAGTGGGAACTGGTTCGACAGGAGAGTAGCTTGATAGCTAAAGGCTCTTCCTCCCATTCTACTTGTGTGGACTCTAGGAACCACAAGTAAACCTGCACTCTAAGAGCGAAGTGCTCTGTTGGGATGATAAGGCACTATGAGGTCTTTAAGATATGATGGAGCCTTGTCATTAAGGGCTTTGTATGTTAGTAGGAGGATTTTAAAGTCTATTCTGGATTTTACAGGGAGCCAGTGGAGAGAAGCTAATATGGGAGAGATATGATCTCTCTTGCTAGTTCCTGTCAGTACTCTGGCTGCAGCATTTTGGATTAACTGGAGGCTTTTTAGAGATCTGTTGGGGCATCCTGATAGTAAAGAGTTACAGTAGTCCAGCCTGGAAGTAACAAATGCATGGACCAGTTTTTCAGCATCACTATTCTGATCAAAGATAACTCCAAGGTTCCTCACAGTAGTACTGGAGGCCAGAGCTGTGTCATCTAATGTAACTGTATGGTTATACAAGAAATTACAGGTCATCCAGGCCTTTATGTCTTTAAGACATGCTTGAAGTTTGACCAACTGATCTGATTCATCTGGTTTCATAGATAAATATAACTGGGTATCATCTGCATAGCAATGGAAATTTATGCCATGTTTTCTGATAATTTTGCCTAAAGGGAGCATGTACAAAGTGAAGAGGATTGGACTTAACACAGAGCCCTGTGGATTGCCATGACTAACTTCAGTTTGTGTGGAAGATTCATCATTAACATGAATAAATTGAAATCTTTCTGATAAATAAGATTTGAACCAACTTAGTTCAGTTCCTTTAAACATGTTCAAGTCTCTGCAGTAAGATGATGTGACCAGTGGTGTCAAAAGCAGCACTGAGATCTAAGAAGACAAGTATGGAGACAAGTCCTTTGTCTGAGGCTAGGAGGAGATCATTGGTGACTTTCACCAATGCAGTTTCTGTACTATGATATAATCTAAAACCTGACTGAAAATCCTCAAACAAATCATTCTTGTGCAAGTGGTCACATAACTGCTTTGCTACAGCTTTTTCAAGGATTTTGGAAATAAATGGGCGATTGGATATTGGTCTATAATTAGCTAGGACACCTGGGTCAAGAGTAGGCTTTTTGAGTAGAGGTTTAATTACTGCAAGTTTAAAAGCCTGTGGAACATAACCTGTTAATAGAGAGAGGTTAATCAGATCTAATACGGACGTGTTGATTAGGAGCCAGACGTCGTTGAGCAGCCTTGTTTGGATGGGGTCTAAGAGACATGTTGATGATTTAGATGAAGCAATTGCTGAGGTCAACTCAGAGAGATCTATGGGAGAAAAGCCGTCTAAGTATAAATTAGGTCTGACAGATGTTTCTAAAGCCATTGTACTTGATGGCATGTCTGTAAGAGTTCTAGGAATGATTTAATTAATTTTTTCTCTGATAGTTGAGATTTTATTTGTAAAGAAGCTCATGAAGTCATTGCTGCTGAGATCTAAGGGAATGTTAAGCTCAACAGCACTGTGGCTCTTTGTTAGCCTGGCTACAGTGCTGAAAAGAAACCTGGGCTTTTCTTATTTTCTTCTATTAGTGATGAATAATATGCGGTCCTGGCATTACAACGGGCTTTTTAATAGGTTATTAAAGTATCTTTCTAGGCTAAGAAAAACTTTTCTGACTTAGTGCAGCACCACCTCTTTTCCAATTTTTGTGATGCCTGCTTTAGGGAGCAGAGCTGCGAGCTGTACCACGGGGCCTCCTCTGTTTCACTGCCTTCTTTTTCAGAGGGGCAATGGTATTAAGTGTTACACAGGGAGGCTACAGCACTATCAACAAGATTAAGGACTTGTGTGGGAGTAAAGTTAAAGTGACCTCCCTCCATTGTGTTGGCACATGGCACTGAAGTAAATAATGATGGAATTATTTTCTTAAACTTGGTAACAGCATTGTCAGATAGCCTTTTACTGTAGTGAAATTGTTTCCCACATAGAATATAATCCATTAATGGAAATTCAAAAGTTATTAGAAAATGGTCAGACAAAAGAGGGTTTTGGGGAAAAACTATTAAGTGTTCAGTTTCGATGCCATATGTCAGACCAAGATCAAGGGTGTGGTTAAAACAGTGAGTGGGTTTATTTACAGAAAAGCCAATTGAGTCTAATAATGAACTGAATGCACTGTTGAGGCTGTCATTGTCAGCATTTACATGGATATTAAAATTACCCGCTATGATTATTTTATCTGTACTAAGCGCTAAATCAGACAAAGTCTGAGGATTCAGTTAAAAACTCTGAATATGGGGCAGGTGGACGGTAAACAATGACAAATAGAACTGGCTTTTGAGGTTTCCAGTTTGGGTGTGAGAAACTCAGAGTGAGGCTTTCAAATGAGTTATAACTATGTTTAGGTCTAGGGTTGATTAATAGGCTTGAGTCGAAGATCGCTGCCACACCTCCACCTTGGCCTGTGTTTCGAGGGATGTGACACTTACTGTGAGTAGGTGGGGTGGATTCATTTAGACTGACATGCTCTTCCTGCTCCACTTCCACTGCTCTACATAGCTCCATCAATGGTCACTGGCAGCAAGGCTCCTGACAAACAGTAAACTCAGAGACAATAGTGCTCCATACTTTGGCAGGTTAACACCAGCTCCCTACACAGATTAGGTTAAGATTCTTTAAGTTTCCTATAAACTTATAAATCTTTTAGCACCTTATTCTGCCCCAAAGCACCTCAGGTCTGGCAACCAAATGCTGTTAAAAGTTTCATGTCAAACCATTTTTATATTATTATCTATTTTTGTTTAAAAGACTTTACAATTTATTACAGGACATGTTTAAATCCATTCTAAATACCGTGTAATGAACTGAGGAAACCATCAGAGTCAGATCTATCTATCTAATTATGCTTGCACATAGCCTACTGTATATTCAAACACAGGGTGGTTAAAATGCTTTACATTGGTAAAGAAAAGCATTAAAACAACATTTGAAAAATAAGCTAGTTGGTAGTAGCCTCTTACCTACAAACAAAGAAAAAAGCACAGGGACATTTAATTCTGCTTTAAAACTTTGCATCTGGTGTTTTCTCCACCATGTGCTCTGTTCCAGTATTTTATTGTGAAACAAACCAAAAATTATATAACACCTATTCTTCACCGATACTTACACAGTGTGTTTTATTAGACATATGCAACAAACTACACGGTGAAATAGCGCATTACGTTTAATTTACCCAACCTCTTGAAATAAGTTAACGTCTGCGCAGTGTGTTTTATTTTGAAAGACACGGGGGCAATCTGAACCCGGTCACCTTCAGAGATGACTGATTAAAGAGCATCTGCACAGTGTCCTTCAACCGCTGGGTCTTAACAGTAGGGGAAAAGCAGGGCACAGTCTTGTTTTGTTTTGTTTTGTTTTGTTTTTTTGGTTGATTGGTTGTTATGTTTTTGAGATACTTCAAAGGTGTAAATATGAGAATCCTTTATTTTCTGTCCTGCTCAGCCCTGCTGTGCGGAGTTAACGGGCGGGTTATAAACACCACAAGGTCTCCGGAGCTACAGCTGTCCGACTTCAGCCTAACTCCAGCACCTAAACCCAGCTCCCTGCCCAGTGTCCACAGAGTACGGAGGAAACGGTTCATCAGTCAGGCTGACATGGTGGCCATTCTGGATTATCACAACCAAGTCAGAGCCAGCGTATTCCCACCTGCTGCCAACATGGAGTATATGGTAAGAAAAGCTGATATGCACATTTAGTCGGAGGCTTCGTGTAAATAAAACAAAACAATATGCCTATATTATTTTTAGGTACTAAACGTGAAAAAATGTAATGAATAAATAAAAAAAAATAAGGAACAGAGGTATTTGCACGTTATGAATGACTGGCCTTTTTAAACCTTCTACATTAGCGCTATTTAACTAACATTACTCTACAAACCTAAATTCATGTATAAATAATGTAATACTTCCCCCCCTGTAAACTGAATGGCCTACTTTTTGGATCATTACAAGGGTTTTTACATCAGACCTTCAAAATCTTTCAGAATATCCTTCCCTTTTGGTTGGGGGACACTACATTCACCCTAGACGTCTAGGTATTCTTTTCCATAATGCTAAAAACAGCAACAGGCTCCTAGTTAATAAAATAGAGTCCCAGTATCTAGCTGGGCCAATCTGCTGATGTGCTTTGCATACAGTTTCTGTGAAGATCAGTTATCAGTGTGTGTGAGTTGGTGCTGGAGATGGCTGCCTCAGTTCTGTACTAGAGACAACTTCCTTGTGGGTGTATCATACTTGGCCAAAAGTGATTATCATTGTTATTCCACATTTTTTAATTTCATAACCAAGTTTTATAAAATTTTTATTTAGGGGGCACACAATGAGATCTCGAGCACGCGCAGTTAAGATGCTTTAAAAAGTTATGGTCATTTAAAGCTTTTGGGGCAATATTTTAAACAAATATGCATCTGATGTTTTGCAATAAAGAAACATGTCACCAGCAGTGTGTTTCACTGATCTGTTTTTAATCATTTCTTAACAACAGGTGGTCTATGGTACAGTGGAATAAGTTAATTCACGTTGGAGGAAAAAAAAAAAAACCTTGATGAAATTGGCAATTTCGAGTTGCGCTACCTCACCTGGAATAGGGAAACCGGGGCACCCTGTTGGGGCCAGACCTGGGAGGGGAGCTCACCGGTGAGTTTCTGCTGGTCGGGCCTTTACCCATGGGGCTCAGTCAGACACAGCTCGAAATAATGGCATGGTGCCACTGCCCTGTGGACCCACCACCTGCAGGAAAAGGAATCAGGGTCGGGTGCAATTTAAGTCGGGTGGCAGGCGCAGTCGGGCACCTGGGTGTGTTGATCTGTGGCTATGTAGGATAGCTCTAGCAACGTGGAATGTCACATCTCTGGTGGGAAAGGAGCCGGAGCTTGTGCAGGAGGTGGAGCGATGCCAACTAGATATAGTTGGGCTTACATCCACACATACACTATATTGCCAAAAGTATTCACTCACCTGCCTTCACATGCAAATGAACTTGAGTAACAACCGATTCTTAATATGGTTTAATGTGATGTTGGCCAACCCTTTGCAGCTATAACAGTTTCAACTCTTCTGGGAAGGCTGTCCACAAGGTTTCGGAGTGTGCTAAGGCAGCAGTGGTGCGGTGGGTAGAGCAGTCATCTCCCAACAAGAAGGTTGAAGGTTTGAATCTCGGTCCCTGCAGTCCACGTGTCTACGTGTTTTTGGGTAAGACACTGAACCTCCCCATTGCCCCGATGGTTAGAGCCATTGGTTGAGTTGGTGCCGCAGATGGCTGCCATCGGTTCTGTATCGGAAACCTTGTGTGTAACATACTTGGCCAATAAAGGTGATTATCCTTATCCTTAATGGGAATTTTTGACCATTCTTCCAGAAGCATATTTGTGAGGTCAGACACTGATGTTGGATGAGAAGGTCTGGATCACAGTCTCCACTCTAATTCATCCCAAAGGTGTTCTATCAGGTTGAGGTCAGCACCAGTCAGGTTCTTCCACACCAAACAAACTCATCCATGTTATTATGGACCTTGCTTTGTGCACTGGTGCACAGTCATGTTGGAACAGGAACGGGCCATCCCCAAACTGTTCCCACAAAGTTGGGAGCATGAAATTGTCCAAAATGTCTTGGTATACTGAAGCATTAAGAGTTCCTTTCACTGGAACTAAGGGGCCAAGCCCAACTCCTGAAAAACAACCCCACATCATAATCCCCCCTCCACCAAACTTTACACTTGGAACAATGCAGTCAGACAAGTACCGTTCTCCTGGCAACCTCCCAAATCCAGGCTTGTCCATCGGATTGCCAGACAGAGAAGCGTGATTCGTCACTCCAGAGAACACGTCTCCACTGTTCTAGAATCCAGTGGCAGTGTACTTTCAATCACTGCATCCGGTGCTTTGCATTGCACTTGGTGATGTAAGATTCAGATCCAGCTGCTTGGCCATGGAACACCATTCCATGAAGTTCCCTATGCACTGTTATTGAGCTAATCTGAAGGCGCTCGGCATGGAACCCCATTCCATGAAGTTTCCTATGCACTGTTATTGAGCTAATCTGAAGGCCACATGAAGTTTGGAGGTCTGTAGCTACTGACTCTGCAGAAAGTTGGCGACCTCTGTGCACTATACGTCTCAGCATCCTGCTCTGTGATTTTACGTGGCCTACCACTTCGTGGCTGAGTTGCTGTCACTCCCAATCGCTTCCACTTTTTTATAATACCACTAACAGTTGACTGTGGAATATTTAGTAGCAAGGAAATTTCACGACTGGACTTATTGCATAGGTGGCATCCTATCACGGTACCACGCTGCAATTCACTAAGCTCCTGAGAGCAACCCATTCTTTCACAAATGTTTGTAGAAGTGGTCTGCATGCCTAGGTCTTGATTATATGCACCTGTAACCATGGAAGTGATTGGAATACCTGAATTCAATGATTTGGATGGGTGAGTGAATACTTTTGGCAATATAGTGTATGTATATTTGTAAAATAGTCAAACTATGACTTGGTTTGCGTTAGACCATGGCTATCTTCAGTCTGTGAGAAAGAGTCATTATTAACATGAACAAATTGGAATCTATCTGATGAATAGTGCAGTTCTGTTAATTCCAACATGTTCTACTCTGTAATAAGATGTTGTGATCAGTGGTGTTAAAAGTAGCACTGAGATCTAAGAGGAAATGGCTGGTCCCCTGTTCTAATCTATTTCTTTATTCAAACCAGGATATATTAGAGAATCAGTTTTAAAAATCTAGTAGACTTCTTTTTGCAACAGTTTTAAACAGTGGTGCGGCTGGGAGGCGACAGTGGTGCGGTGGGTAGAGCAGTCGTCTCCCACCCAGAAGGTTGAGGGTTTGAATCTCAGTGCCTGCAGTCCACATTTTGAAGTGTCCTTGGGCAAGACACTGAACGCCCCCAAGTTGCCCGTGATGGCGGCACGTCTGCATGCAGCGACCCGAGGCCTCTCGGCTCCAAGCAAAATTTTATTGTACGTGTTACAATGACAATAAAATAAAGCTTCTTCTTCTTATGGTTTGTTCAATAACCTCTATTCCTTTTACTCTAAATAGAGTTTTCAGCCTTGCCATTGTGTAAAAGGTATAGTCCAAGCATGGTGGGATGAGAGGTAGTATGCTGCAATGAGAGGTAGTATTATTGCTGAGACCAGTTCACCCTATCTCCTGTCTAAACAGGGCAAGGCGGGATGAGGTGTTGGAGGTCTGCATGAGAGCAAGAGAGAGCTAGAGAGTGAAAAGGGAGAGAGAGCAGTGGCAACAAAAACAAAGTGAATAAGGGAATTAAAATGTTTTGTGATTGTTTCACTGTGGTTATGCTCTAAAGCATGGATAAACACAGCCACACCTCTGCACAGCCCCCTGGGAAGGATTTTGTGTGAATACAGCAGATTCAACCCACAGAGTAACTATAAAGTCAATATCAGAAATATTAGATGTGTATAATTTGACCAGGACATCAGTAGTATCATGAACTTAGAATGGAAGCTTTTGTGCACAGGCATTCAAAAAATTATCAAGTACTTTACAGGCTGGTTTTGTAAGCGTTCTGTTCTGTAAGTGTTCTGCTGGCCTCCCTTGAGGATTGTAGAGCACCAGGTGCAAACAGTTGTGTTTCTGCCTTGATGAAGATCTGGTGAAGATCTGGCTTTTTTATTTTTTAATCGAGATGCCTAATTAAATACAGGCTTTTACACATACAGTAAAACAAGTATAATTTGTTCCGGCAACGTGCTTGTAATTCAAAGCACTCGTATATCAAAGCGAATTTCCCCATAAGAAATAATGGAAACTCAGATGATTCGTTCCACAACCACTTCTTCATACAAAAATGATTACAGTAATGCAAAATACACAAAATAAAATAAAGTACAAATAAAAGTAAAATAAAACAAATTAACCTGTGCTTTATCTTTGAAAAGAATCATGGCTGGCGTGAGGGAGACAAGAGAGAGGAGCTATCTGCCATCTCTTGGCTTGCTGAAATCTTTTTCTTTTTGTGCGACTTTAACAATGAACCTATCCAATGACACTTGCTTTTGCCTCCTTTTAAGGATATGGCAGATTTTACACATATCCCTTATAAAATCTGCCACTCGCATACCTTGTTCATACTTCTCGATGATTTCCTTTTTAACTTCCACTGTAATCATCTCCTTTTTCTTACCGCCTTTCTTTTCAACCTTTAATTTTTTCTTCATGGGGGCCATTGTTGCAGTACAGATGCTGACTATACAAGTGAGGCGCAAGAACCATTGGCTCAATTGTGGAGTGACGCTCGGCAGACAAAGCGTACGTACTACTCTTATCGCAAGACCTCGCTCGTTTATGTCAGGTTTGCCCGGTTGCACCTCTTTTCTCACTCCCCTCACTCTGTTTTCTCTCCCTTTACCTGATTACGCTATCCTCTACACCTGCTTGTCACCAGCTGCACCTGATTAGTTTCTCCCTATTTAGTCCCTGCTCTTCGTTCACTCCCTTGCCAGTTCTTTCTAGCTTTTCTCAGGCCCGTTTGTTCCCCGTCGTTCTTTTGAATCTGTATTTAGTGTTTTGTGTTTCTTCTCTCCAGCTGCTTAGATTACATTCCCTTTTTTTTGCATCAGCCGCTCCTTTGGACCACGGACCTCCTCCACTCTGCTCTTCACCACCTCGCAGGTCGATGCACACACAGGTCTACCACTCACCGTATGTACTATTTCTGTTTATCTACAGTTGCACCTAACCCGACCAGTCCAGGAGCGAGTCCCAATGTCCGCAGCCCTGTCTTCTTCTCATCATCTCCATCATTGACTGTGTACACTCCTATGCTCGACACCCGGTTCCATTGTTCCTCTGTTCATTTCTTGTCACTTATACAGCACTGTAAATAAACTACACTGTCTGCACCGAAGTCAGCCACCTGGGTCCGTCTATTTTTGTGACTCGCTCACTGTTGTGTTCGAGCAGTCCTTACAGTTTATCAAGTTAAAATTTATGAAAAAATTTTGCTCGTCTTGCAAAACACTTGCAGACCAGGTTACTCGGAATCCAAAGTTTTACTGTATTCCTTACTTTACCTAAAAGTGCCTGAAATATTTTTTCTAAAATTTGATTTTTGATAACAGTGATTCAACTATATAAATGTTGCTTCTCTAATGAATTATTGCTTGTTCCCTGAAATGTGCCAAGCATGTTTTTCTCAATTACAAACTCTCCAACAGACATGGGACAGTGATTTGGCTAGGACAGCTGAAGCCTGGGCGGCTACGTGTCTGTGGGAACATGGACCAGCTTACTTGCTGCAGTTCTATGGACAGAACCTGTCTGTCAGGACAGGGGGGTAGGTACTACACACACATTTTATTTTCATTCCTTGTGGGGGCTTTACATCAATTTAGTACATTAATTTAATGGTGGCCTACCCTAACCTTAATACCAAACCTTAACCCAACCCTTACTTTACCCTAACCCTAAAACCAAGTTTTCACCCAAAAATTCAGTGATTTCCATGGTGGGGACCAGCATCTGGTCATGAGGAGGTCCCCACAATGCGACTGGGTAAACGGGTTTACAGTTTGTGGGTAACACTGGAAATTCTTCTTCTTCTTCTTTTTTCGGCTGTTCCCGTTAGGGGTCGCCACAGCGAATCATTTGTTTCCACCTAACTCTATCCTTGGCATCCTCTACTCTCTCCCCAATTAACTTCATGTAGCTTGGAAATGTAATCTTCCATTTTGATAAGGTGGATTGTAAAGGAAATATAAACAAGCACGAAGAAGATTGTAGGTAGCGCAAGAATCTGTGGGCTCACAAGCGCCCTCTGCCTTGAGGCAGGCGTACTGTTTGCCTCACCGAGTAAC